GCCGGGGGTGCCAGGAGCCTCTGGGGGGAGAGGGAGGCAGGGGATGTGACCTGGTGAGGGGTGTGGTGGAAGCTGAGGGGTGGGAGGTGGAGATGGCAGGGACATACCTGCTGGGGAGGGAAGGGTGTGCAGGAGCTGCAGCGTGGGCTGGCCTGCCAGGGGTGCCAGGAGCCGCAGTGGGAGCTGAGATGGTTGCTTCTGGCTGCTGTTCATCCCTGCATGCTCATCTGAGGAGCACTTAGAGCCAGTTTTTTTTTCTTTTTTGCTTTTTCCTGGCATCAAAAATTTGCTGGTTTCTACAGTTTTCCAGATGCTTTAGTTCCGGATAGTGCAGGTTTTACTGTATTAGGATATTTGGTTGGACCCATAAAACAATTTTTCACCATCTCCCTTCCTAAATTGAATCAATTCCTGTCCACTATGAACAGAGCCAATACAAAAATATTGGGAACATCAAAATCTGTGTTTGCTTTCACATTTCAAGGTTCTAGATCCTTCACAATTGGCATCCCAAAGAAAAGCTCTCTTTTTATTCATTCGAAGTAACAGTATTTAATATCATATGCTGTTAAAACCTGATCTGGGGAAAAGAAGAGAGCAATTAACATGTTAGAGTTCTATACAATTCTTAAAATAATTAATCTGACAAGGATTTCTTGCTGTGACAAGTATGTGTACCTACTGATGAAAGTAAAAATCTACCATATATAAAATTCTTTCTTCAAACAGAACTATAGAAATCCTAGACAAGAAAATGACCTGGAATGAGACTAACACCTTCTACAAGAGAAGGAGGCAATTTATGTAGAAATAATCTCTTCCAAAGAAGGAAAGATTTGCTTAAACTCTAGCACAGCTGCAATGTCCTTTGAAAATAACATTCAAAAGAGGCCTTGGAAATGTATCTACAACCTTGTATACTCTCATGATAACCAGAAGCAACTACTCCAACATTTGTATATTAAAAAAAGTTATATTTTTAATTAATGGGTAAGTGTACTAGATTTAACAACATGACACAACATCTCAAATTCTAATAAAACCTTTAGGAGTTCACTCTGATAAGTGATTTCTATACAATAAGAGGACATTGACATGGCAGATGGGGGAGGGATAAAAGAAAAAATAGCACAAACAATGAAAACTGATGGGAATTTAGCCTGCCACTTTGGCTTGAGCTAGAATAATGAACAGGAAAAAAAAGAAGTGAAGAAGAGAAACAGTCTAAAGACCCCACTGTTCTAATGTTTTGGTTTTTGTTATTAGGTTTGAAGAATTATTAAACTAAATTAAAAGGTGTACTTACAACTGCAAATTCATCTTGATCCAACATTCCATCACGGTCAATATCACTTAGTTCCCAAACCTAAAGAAAACCAAAACATGTATGTGATTGGCTTCCAAACCCAACGCAGCAGTGTCAAACACCACAAGCAAAGCTTCTATCTGATTTAAGATTTTAAAAACAACCAACAACTCTCAAACAGGAGAGACTGAGACTGTGGGATACTGAACATTTCCATCAGCACTAGTGTTCAGTCAGTAATGCTTATTTGGTTAAGTTGTGTAAGAAAGCAATTTTCTGAAGGCGTAGAGAAAGGGTAAGATAACATTCTCCATCAATATAAATGTTAAAATAGACATATATAAGCAACCCAATACATTAAAAGAAGGTTAATATGGCAACTTTTCAGAATAACTGCAAAGATATCCATTTGAAACAAAAAAAAGAATTATCAGTTTGTTTTATTTATCACTAAGGCAACTTCTTAGAAGCAGAGAAAGTAACTACATAGAATCATAAAAGATTAGGGTTGGAAGAGACCTCAGGAAGTCATCTATTTCTAACCTCTGCTCAAAGCAGGACCAAGTCCAACTAAATCATTCTAGCAAGGACTTGTTAAGCCTACCACAGAAAAAAAATGCAAGTGTTTTACATGTATACACTATTAAATCTTTCAATCAACTGTCTCCAAAACAGACCAATACATTTTGTAATGGAAAATGAGGTCATTTTGCAATCTCAGTTACATTTTTATTACAAAAGACATTACGTCTGAATACCTAGATATTTCTCTAATTTGTACATTTATCTGTATTATTTATGATTCCCAAATCAAATCAGTCGCCCACTAATTTTAGTTAGAATGATGTTCTTACTCTTCCCAGGACATCCACTGGCAGTTTGGAGTTTAACAGTACAGGTTTCACCTTATCACCTGACAACAATCCATTCACAGGATTCAGACTGTCGAAGATAGCATCATATTTGGCCTTTTCTTCCGGCTGAGAGAGTAGAAAATAAACAGATATAGATAAACAGAAATAAACTGTTAATGAGAACACTTACAGAACAAAGACACAACGTAAGAGAACCACAGTTATTGTACAGGTAAGTAATCATTTATTCAAGCGCTTGTGCATGTATCATTCCATTCTAGGTGAATCCCCAACAATGCTCCGTTGATAGTGAGAACTCTGAGTCTACTTAAACAGAGATTGAGGAACTCTCCTTCCAAAATTAACATCTGTTCTTGGTACTTCAACAACTAGGGATTTGAACATGCATTTAATTAAATAACTGTGTTACTGCTGAATATTTCCAGTTACGCAGTTGTTGATAGGGATGTGAAAGTGTAATATTGTGTAAATGTGTGTATAAAGATGCTGCTGCAAGTGTCTCTGATTGGAACATTCCTCAAGAAAGCCTCAAAGGTAGCCTGGGCACAGACCAGAAACAGGAATTCATCCATCAAAGAATTCATGGTCCGACTAACCCTGAAATAAAAGCTGCATTTGTTGTTTTTGTTCATGAACAAGTCCACGCAGGGAAATGCCTATTTCTGGAACACTGTCTACATTAACTCTTGATTCCTAAAGGCCATTCATGCTGATTAACCAGATGTATGTTGGGAAACTAACACAGCAGGGCACAGACTTTCCAATAAGTTCTTGGACTGCATTGAATTTAATTTTTTATTTCAGAAGGTTGAAAAAAAGTTACTAATTCAATCTCTGGAAAAATACTGGAACAAAACACTAAGCTGTCATTTTGTAAGCACCTGGAGGATAATATGGCTATAAGGAGCAGCCAGAAGAGATTTGTGCAGAACAAAATGTGCCAAACCAACCTCCTTTCCTCCTTTGACAGGTTTACTGTCATAGTGAAAAGGGAGAAGCAGTAGATGTTATATATCTTGATTTTAGTGAGGCTTTCAATACAGTCCAAATCACTAAGAGGAAAAACAACTGGAGAGAGCTGGCAGTTTTTCAAACAGACATGATTAAGGGCCCAAAAGCAAACTATTCCGCTGCAAGGAAAGATAGAAAGTCTGGCAGGAGACCACCTTGGATCAACCAGGAGATCTTACACGGTCTAAAAATAAAAAATGGGTGGGTGGGTGGGGAGGAGACAGAGAGACAGAGAGAAAGAAAAAGACAAAAGACTGCCTTGGCTTAACCAGGAGATCTTGCATGATCTAAAAATAAAAAAGGAGTCATATAAAAAAGTGGAAACTAGGACAGATTACAAAGGATGAATATAAGCGATGTCTACAAGTCACCAGGGTCTAATTAATGCATCCTAGAATACCCAAGGAGCTGATAGAGGAAGAATCTGACCCATTAGCCATCATCTTTGAAAAATCATGGAAGACGGGAGAGATTCCAGAAGACTGGCACCCATCTATAAAAAGGGAAATAAGAACAATCCAGGAAACTACAGACGAGTCCGTTTAACTTCTGTGCCAGGGAAGATAATGGAGCAAGTAATTAAGGAATTCATTTGCAAACACCTGGAAGATAATAAGGTGATTAAAAATCCATGCTGGCTGTTACTTAAGAACATATCATGTCAAGCCAATCTGATAGCTTTCTTTGATAGGTTAATGAATCTTGTGGATAGGGAGAAGCGGTGAACAGGTATACCTAGACTTTAGCAAGGCATTTGATATGGTCTCACATGACCTTATCAATAAACTAAGCAAATACAACTTAGATGGGGCTACTGTAAGGTGGATGCGTAACTGACTGGATAACCATTCTCAGAGAGTAGTTATTAACGGTTCACAATCATGCTGGAAGGGCATAACAAGTGGGGCTCCGCAGGGGTCTGTTTTGGGACTAGTTCTGTTCAATATCTTCATCAATGATTTAGATATTGGCATAGAGAGTACGCTTATTAAGTTTGAAGATGATACCAAGCTGAGAGGGATTACAACTTCTTTGGAGGACAGGGTCCTAATTCAAGATTATCTGGATAAACTGGGAACTTGAGCTAAATAGGGTGACGTTTAATGAGGACAAATGCAAAGTACTCCACTTAGAAAGGAACAATCTGTGTCACACATACTGAATGGTAAACAACTGTCTAGGAAGGAGTACTGCAGAAAGGGATATAGAGGTCATAGTGGACCATAAGATAAATACAAGTCAACAGAGTATCGCTGTTGCAAAAAAAGCAAACCTGATTCTGGGATGTAGTAACAGGGAGTATTGTTAGCAAGACACGAGAACTCATTCGTCTGCACTGATTAGGCCTCAATTGGAGTATTGTGTTCAGTTCTGGGCGCTACATTTCAAGAAAGATGTGGAAAAATTGGAGAAGATCCAGAGAAGAGCAACAAGAATGATTAAAGGTCTACAGAACATGAGCTACGAAGGAAGACTGAAAGAATTTGGCTTGTGTACTCTGGAAAGGAGACGATTGAGAGGGGACATAACGGTTTTCAGGTATCTAAAAGGGTGTCACAAGGAGGAGGAAGAAAATTGTTCTCCTTGGCCTCTGAGGATGGGACAAGAAGCAATGGGCTTAAAGTGTAGCAATGAAGGTTTAGGTTGGACATTAGGAAAAACTTCCTAACTGCCAGAGTGGTTCAACACTTGAATAAGTTGCCTAGGGAGGCTGTGGAATCTCCATCTCTGGAAATATTTAAGAGCAGGTTAGATAGACATCTATCTGAATGATCCAGACGCGGCATGTCAAACTTGAAACCTACTGCGGGCTGCACAAACAAAAACTGATAGCTCACAGGGCCACAGGTTTGACCACTTTGTCGGAAATTTATTATAGATTTCATTTTAGCTATTTTATAATCTTGCAATAATTTTATGTGTAAAATTATTTGTTCATATTAATTTTACATAATTTTTAATTTAAATATAAATGTAAGGTACTTTCAAATTTTGTATAGGATACATAACTTGTTTTGTTGAAAATAAAAACAAGTATAGTCAGTGGTTAATCAAATAGAACAGACTTCTGAGAAAATTTGAGATACTTTGTAAGTATGAGATTTTGCATAAACAATCATTCATGCAATTGCAAAAAATGGACATATTTATTAATATAAATAAATAGAATGCACTGTGATTTTATCCTAACTTAATGCCTCCCCCGTTCCCCAGAGGCAGGGACTTCCGCCCTCCCCCCCAACCTAATGTCTCTCCCCTCCCTCAGAGCCAAGGACTACCAGCCCCGCCTCTAACCTGCCTGGGTTCCGGAGCCGCTGTCATCACGTTGCCCTTGCCACCGCAACGCTTTCTTAGGCGTTGGGGCACCATGAGTACAGCGGCCAGCCGGCTGTGACCACGTGCTGCGGGCCATGCATAAAGTGGCTGGCCGGCTGTGGCCACGTGCTGGGAACTGTGCGTAGAGCTGCCCAGCCAGCCGGCCTTGAGTAGTTGCTGTTAGCACCGTGCGCAGAGCAGCCGGCCAGTGTGACCTGCACTCCGTCACGTGCTCCAAGCGGTCAGTGGGCCGCACTTCATTATTTCTGAAAATGCACCGGCAGGCTGCAAAAAACTTCAATGAGGCTGCATGCGGCCCTCTAGATGCCAGTTTGACATGCCTGGTCTAGACAATACTGGGTCCTCCCGTGAGGGCATGGGACTGGACTCAATGACCTGTTGAGATCCCTTTCAGTTCTAGTGTTCCATAATTCTACAACCTTCTGTGGAGGCAATCTCCTAGAACATTCTTTACCCTGAGAAGATGTGAGGCTTTGAGAGTAGTGTCATTTTCAATGCAGAGATTATGAAGCTGTACTACCACCTGACACAAGAGATTTGACCTAGCTCCACCCTGTTATTTGAAGTAAATAACTGCAGTCACCTTCTTCCATCATCTTTTGAAATACAGTGCTTAGAGACTAGAAAGACTTGCCAGGCACGATTCTTAGCCCTCACTTTTAAGACATTTATAATGAAGGCTGATTCTGGAAACCTTGAGTCTGTACCCCATCCAGGTATGGACAGAAAGCATATAGTGTCCATCACTAATGTTTCTGATAGAAGAGAAACAAGTGAAGTATGCCATTACAGACATTTTCCATACTCATGCACCAGCTTAATGCTAGGGTTTAAGCAGGTATGTGAATCAGCTTGTCCAGAAGATGCTTGCTTGTGTGATATATGGATTTCAACAAGCTTTGCTGGCAGCACAGGCCAACTCTGGCATGCTAAGATACATGTGAAATGCCATGTGTCTAAGCAATCGGAGGCAGGAACTTTTTCTCAGGTGACCCTACGCTAACGCACAGAGTTAAAATGGACCAGAATCTTTAAGGTAGATAGGCAGTTGCTGCTGTAAAGCCAAGAACAGTTCCAATGAACTCAGTTCTCTCCAACAGACACAATGCTGATTTGCCCATGTTTATTTTCAGATATAGCTGCATGAAGAGAGACTAGATCTGATGAATGCTATCTGCCACTTGATGTCTGGAGACACCTCAAATTACCAACCATTCATATTTGGAATAATCTGAAAGCATACCTGTTAGGTAAGACAGTAAGTCCACCACACACTTGGTAAAAATTGTGAACATTGATGATAGGACAAATGGAAATACCATGTATTGGTAGCAGCAATCCCTCACTGAAAACAAATCAGACATTGTCTATGGCTTGGGTGGATAACCATATGAAAATAGGCATCCTGCAGACACAGAACAGCTTATCAGTCATCCAGAAAGAAAAAGGCATAATGGAGCAAGGGATACCATTCTGAACTTGATCTTTTTGATGAAGCAGGGAGCACAGTTCCCAGATGAGGTAGACAGACATGTGCTATATCTGCTTCAGCTAGAATGCTAGAAAAAGCAGGGTACCTTAGTCCCTGTGCTGAACTCTCATTTACAGCTGCCTCTACCAATGATCCTGGAGCCAGGTGAGGATTATTAAAAAACTGTATTGATACTTTGTGACAGGTTTTTTGCATCTGGGTGATATGGAGGTCAGGGTCTGCCATAACTCACAGAATATACAAGGACTTCAGTGATAGACAGTACCACTTCATCAAGGACCAAAGTGTGCATCATGTGTTCAGTAACCTGAGACAGTCCATTTCTATAGGAAGTTCCAGTAAAGAGCCCAATCTCCTCAAGAGCTCCAGAAATAACAGGCAGTCAGACGTAGGCCTAGACAATATAGTGTCAAGAGCAATAGCTTCACTGGGGAAGACGACAAGATGTCAGCATCAGCTAAGATTAGTTATCAAGTTCCATTTTTGCCTGTGCCTCAGACACAGAACTCTGAGGTGATGGTCTAGCAGAAGTTATTTTAGCAGAGGTTCTAGTTGCACAATTGAGGCAGATTTCACTGAATGAGGAATATCCCATGTGCCCAGTTTGGCTATGGTAGATAAACAAAAGGTACTGGAGGCAAATGCTGGAATCCCTCAAGGGTTAATATCCTAGAGAGAGATCTATATCTAGGGAAATAAAATTTTGCTCTGGAATCAAAAGGTGTCAGGGAGGCAAAAGTTGTAATCTGCTGTTCCCTGACTGAGAAGGATTATTCTTCACAAAGGCGAAGGGCAGTGCCAGTACTTTTGGCTGGTTGGTTAACCTGGAATGTCTTCATCAATGTAGAAGACAAACTTGCAACCGGAGCCAGTGTTGTTACTCTCAAACAAATGCTCAGCTGAAAGGAGAATCAGGGTGGTACCAAAATCACTGGTTCTAGGTCTTTAAATCTCCATTCAGGTAAATTCTCAGTGTTCAGGGTCAGACCAGGCACTTGAGAGATATTTCCTGGACTTTTTCCCTACTAAAGTATCCTAAAAGGAAAGCATTTCAGATGATGGCTCTGAAGACAATGAACAAAGCCTCTTCCTCTAGTAAACTAGGGATTTCTCCTGCTTTCAGAGGATGAGGTCTGCAGAACCATAGCAGTTACTGAACATGCAGAGGCTGAGTCCACTCTCTTCAATGATACAGCCAGGGTACTCAATACTGGAGCAACATGGATCCAAAACCAAGTGCACAGATTTTTCTGTGAGGTACTTCAGACATCTTTTGTCTGAAGAAGAATCTGCATAGGATACATGTTTCTAGAATGTAGATTTCTAAAAGTTTTTGTCCCCGTTCCCATTGGTTAGAGGCATGACTGCCTAGCAGCAGGAAGGAGCGAGTTTTAAACGCCTTGAGATTTTCTCACATCCTAAACAAAGGAAAACAATGGTGATCCAGCCCAAGATAAAAAGATGACACTTCTCTCAAACTTGTGCCTCCCCTACGAGTACAGCTGGCCAAATACCTCCGGCTTGAGTGCAATCAACACAGTTGCACACATTCAAATATACATGTGCAACAAGAATCTTAATCTGGCGTTTTCTAACTTTTGCACACTTGATTTTATAGCCTTAATTTTTTCTAATATAATTGGTATATAATCCCGATCGATTTTATGACTAAAATAACTCAACTCCCATATTTAGTCTTGGTTAGATATGATAGCCCTGCAAAAGATACTACAATGATCTGAAAACGGAACAGTTGTCCTCCTCTTATAGCAGCAGTACAGTTCACATGAAACTGATAATGTCTGAAATGAACATATGTATTGTTTACAATTATCATAGGTATGGCAGGAGCACTATAAAACCTGAAACCCATCAATATATGCTAATTCCGAGTGTACAGAATTATAATTATTTCTTTTTTACTTCAATATTTCAGAATTTCCAAAATATTTTCTTTCCTGGTATTTAAGTTAGCACAATAAAACACTCAGTTTCAAAAATATCAGATATGAAGAATTGAAAACAGAAGACATTAAACTATTCAGAATAATTTAGAGAATAACCTGAAAGCAGCTATAGCAAGTCTGTTCTCTTGCAAACTACAGTAATAAAAATGATCAGATATTGGTATGTAGACTTTTTGACTGTTTACGACTTGCAACATACCTTCACAGCCCATGGGATGTCGGCTGATGCTGTTCCACTAATTAGTAACGGGCTACTGGTATCATTCTAATGGAAAACAGAACAAAACAATAATTTAAGATGGAAAACTCAAAGTGGCATGTTTTCTCCACACTCAATACTGCATCAAATCATAACAAAGCAAGTCTTAATTTATAGTTATACCATATTCCGTCAATTAAAAGGAAATGGGACTTCAGTTGTCTTTACTTCTAAAATCATAAGAAAAATAAACAATAAACCCTGTTACACACCTTGTGGTTTATAGTTAATACAAATGTCTCTTTTTTTTTATTGTAACTGGGACCAGAATTGGGCATAGTGTGACCATGTGCCATGAAAGCTTTCCCATTCAGACTTCTAAGTGCAACTTCACTGTTGCCTTTCAACATCCTTGTCTTTTGTAAACTATTAGAAGTTTAACGGCAATGCTAACAAAAACTATTTACTATGGACTAAATTAACATTTGCTCTTGTGACCAAAGCAGGGTGTTAACTCAAGACTGCTAGACTAAAAGTACTTGCTTTTGCACATGAAGTCCAATGTTTTATTTTTTAACAGCACTAAGATTTCTCAGTGAAGATACTGGATATAAAACATTAAATCTTGCCAGACGTTAATGAACAATTTGTTTTTAATTTAAAAAAATATCTTACAAATCTAGGTGGTGGAACAGGCAGATTAAGACTACTCAGGGAAACATCCAATCCATTCTGTGCACAGGCCACTAGTCGCAAAGCCACAAAAAATTCCTACGGAGGAAAAACAGAATTTTTAAAGAATGTACAATACAAAAGTAATTTAAATTCAACTGGAGAGCTGAAAATGTATAATTTACTTCCACTGGCCTATTTCTCTTAACAGGATTCATCTTGTTAAACTAATACACTATTACTCTTTAATTTATTTCAAATACTTACAATAGTATTAACATATCAACCTGGGGTACAAAAAAGTAGTTAAATTATAACTCAGCAGCAACTCTAGAAAATCTTAACTGTTAAAAGATCTGCCAAAATATTTAACTACTGAAATGAAACTTCAAGGTTAAGGGTTTGATTGCTTTTATGTAGACAGAAGTAACAATTTTTACACAATATGTCCTTGGAAACATGAAGTAAAAAACTTGAAGAAACATTTTAATATCCTCAAAAAGAGCATAGACAAGATAGCAATAATCCTGAGGAGCAACAAATAGCAATACATAGTATTAATAGATTAAGATATGAGAAAGCTTTTATACAGAAATGTGGGACAAATATTCTGAGATGAAAATATTCTCCTCCATAAGCCGTTTTCTTTTCATGCCTTGGTCTCTGACTAATTATCACCATCTATTTACTGAAGTACAGGACCATCTCATTTTAACTGACAGATTTGCAATTTAAGAGACACATGCTTAAAAATTTATTCCCTATGCGTCAGTCTATTTCTTAACATTTCTAAGGGCAGACGATACTTAAAACAGCAGCAGCTGCTCTGATGTAGTACGTTAGTGAAGATACAATTACGTTGATGAGAGCTTCTCCCATCAACATAATTAATCCATCTCCATAAGAGGCAGTAGCTATGTCAATGTGAGAAGCCCACCCACTGACAGAGTGCTGGCTACTTCTTAGAGTTACTCTGGTATAACTGCTTCACTCAGGAATTTGGCTTTCACACTCCTGAGCGATGTAATTATACTAATGTAAGTTTACAGTGCAGATCTGGACTAAATTCAGTCTGACAGCAGTGGTCAGGCCTCATTCTTTAAACAGGTACAGAAGATAAACTTGAATTGGAGCCAACTGGTAGACTTGTCCTGAAATCATAGGTCAATGGTAACATGGAGCATGTGAGACAGAACAGAAAACTGACTAAAACAAAACAACTTGATGAATCATTTTTCTAGTGAGCCTGCAGATATCAGTATGAAAAATGAATGAAAAAAGAGAGTATTTTTACTAATATTTGATCTGAAAGACAAGATGTAATAACTGTTAACTAAATGCAAATGATATGAAGCTGGTAGGTTTTTTCAACTTCCAGTGATGTCCACAGAAACAAATACTAAAGGACAAAGGTGAGAAATACTAATAGATACTGTGAATCAACAAATTAAAAACAAGATAATACAACTGGAGAATAAACCAGTGTATAATGCGAGGAAGATCTTTGGAAAGTAGTAATGCTAGGAAAGATCTAATGGTGAAACACAGAAAATTGGGTATGAGCTTGCAATGCAGTTTGGAGATGCATATAGAGAGCTATTATATCATGGATAGTGAAGAGACAGCCTCTTTGGAGTGCAGAGGTTCTTTATAAAAGTTGGTCTGCAAAGTTTGTGCCCCTTTTTGGCTTCTTTATTACATATGTAGCAGGCATATGAAAATAGGGGTTCTCCTCTTCATGGTCTTTGCCTATGAAATACACAGAAGCTAGAAGTTTTCCAACTTCCCCCTTGCATGAAATCACATCTTGATTGCCAGGACCTCAAGGACCAACTTCCCTCCTTTTTAAGGACACATGGACCACCTCCCATTTATGACTGCATAACACAACTGTGGTACTCCACCAGGTATTTATTTGGGAAGTGGTGCATCTTCTGCTGTATTTTAATGTAGCTTAAGAGCTGGCCTAAGGGAGAGCTGCCAACACCATGAGATCATCCAGAATTTAATAAACTTTGCTTTTAAATCACCAATCAACTGCATTATTATTATTATTATGGTTTCCCCATAAATGTTTTTATATATATATCTGTGGTGTCCAACATGCTAGCCACTAACCACATGTGGCTATTTGGTTGTTTGAGAGTGGCTAGTTGGCTTGAATAATAAAAACACAAAAATCACTGCATTAAAAAAAATGTTTAAATAAAAAAATTCAGAGAATTAAAAACCATTCAGAAGATCTTTCTGAGTTCTAAAGCCACTTTCTGTTAATTTGATCCATCTGATGGATAGAGACTTCTACCAGTTCACAGAATGGTTTAAATATGTCACTTAGGCCGGAAATCATCATGCATAAGCCTGGCGATGCGTTGACTGGAGAGTACAGCGCCCTTGGATCGTTGAGCTGTTGATACCAAAAGTCTACCTGTTCGCCTCCACTGGCAGGTTCCGTCTATATAAAAAGAAAGAGCGCACCTTACGTCAAGCGTATGCAGCAGGGCCTCCTTATTCGAGGCATGCGGCTTAGGGTAAAATGAGGGAAGGACGATCAGCTCGTTGATATGAAACGATGAGGTGACCTTGGGAATGAACGCTGGATGTAAATGTAATGTCACCGATTCCTTCAAGAAAGAAGTGAAAGGGGGATTTGCCATTATTGCGCCCCCAGCTCGCTGACTCTGCATGCTGATGTAATTACAAGTAAGACGACGGTTTTAATAGTTAGCATCTGCAAGGGAACAGATGCTAATGGTTCAAAAGGGGGAATACATAATCGTATCCAGCACTAAGTCAAGATTCCAGGATGGTGGGGGTGGTTTTCGAGGTGAGCTTATATTGATCAGGCCTTTGAGGAATCGTGTGGTAGTTGGGTGAGAAAATACCAAAGAACCCTGTATTGGGTAATGGAAAGCACTAATGGCTGCCAAATGAACTCTGAGGGATGCCAGGGAAAGTTTCGAATCTCGCAAATAAAGAATGTATTCGAGGATTTGGTGTAAAGGAGAAGACAATGGTTGGACGTTATTATGGAGGCACCAGTAGGAGTATCTGCACCATTTAGCCAGGTAAGTATTGCGTGTAGATGCTTTTTTGCTATGTATCAATATGGACTTGACCTATTCTGAACAAAGTTTTTTGTCTTGTCTAAGCCAGTCAGGAGCTATGCTGTCAGGTGCAATGCTTCTAGCTTGTGATGTTCTTGAGAGAGGAGATCCCAATATAAGGGCAGAGGCCACGGTGGCGGTAGTGACATTCTGCGTAAGAATGGATACAAAGATTGCCTGGGCCAAGCTGGCGGTATTAGGATTACCGTCGCTGCTTCCGTTCTGATTTTCTCCAGTGTTCTGGGAATGAGGACTCTTGGGGGAAAAGCGTACAGGAGTGCCCTTTTCCAAGTGGTCAATAATGCGTCGCCAAGAGATCCCTTGCCGATCCCTGTTCTGGAACAAAAAAGGCGACATTTCTTGTTGGTGGATGTTGCAAACAGATCTACTAGGGACGTTCCCCATCTGTGGAAAATCTTCTGAAGCACTCGTCTGTAGGGAAGCGCCTGCTGACGGAGTTGGCAATGACATTGGCTGTGCCAGGTAAGTAGGATGTTATGTTGATGTTGTTCTATATGCACCAATTCCAGCACTGTACCGCTTCGGCGCATAGAGAGCGTGATCTTGCTCATCCCTGTTTGTTTATATAATACATTGCCGCTACGTTGTCTGTCAGCACCCTGACTGTCTTGTCTTTCAGACATGGGAGGAAATGTCGGCATGCTAGAAAGATCGCTCGCAACTCTAATTGGTTAATGTGAAGAAGTCTCTCAGTTTGAGAGCACCTTCTCTGTATGCGTTCCTCGCCCAGGTGAGCACCCCATCCGATGAGTGAAGCATCTGACATTAACTGGACAGATGGATGAGACTGGTGAAAAGGTACTCCCATCAAGATGTTTGATGTGTTCGTCCACCATCGCAGGGACATGTGCACATGGGACGGAGGAGAAACTAGCTTGTGGATGTCGTGCCTTTCGGGGATATACACAGTTGATAGCCAGTGCTGCAGATTCCTCAGATGGAGGTGTGCATGTGGGACAACGAAGGTGGCCGCGGCTATGTGGCACAGGAGACGCAGGCAGGTATGGACTGAGATTGTTGGGGTTTTGCTGAGTAGACTGACCAAGGTCTTTTATTGCCTGGAATCTGTCCATGGGCAGGTACGCTTTTGTCGCGCGGGAGTCGAGAACTGCTCCTATGAACTTTATATTTTGCGTTGGAATCAGCGTAGACTTTTGTTTGTTTACTATTGGTCCAAGAGAGTCGAACGCTTGTCTGACCAGCGTAAGCATCTGCATCATCTCTTCTCGTGATGTGCCCTTTATGACAGTCATCCAGATAAGGAAATACGATGACTCCCAAGGCGACAAAGGTGGGTGGCGACAACAGCAAGGGTCATTGAAAATACCCTCGGAGCCGAAGCCAGCCCAAATGGAAGGATGCAATACTGAAAGTGCTCATTGTTTATGACAAAGCGCAGGAATTGCCTGTGCGCAAGGTGTATGGCTATATGAAAATAGGCATCTTGGAGGTCGAGGGCTGCGAACCAGTTGTTGCTATCTAGAGATGGAATGATTGTAGTCAGAGTTACCATTTTGAATCGCTGCTTTCTAAGATAATGATTTAACCAGTGTAGATTGAGAATGGGTCTCCAGCCCCATTTTCTTTTGCGTTAGGAAGTACTGTGAATAGAACTCTTTTCCCTTGAAGCACTCTGGGACCCTTTCTATCGCTCCAATGGATAACAGGTGATAGGCCTCTTGTTGTAAGAGGTTCTCGTGAGATGGGTCCCTGAAAAGGGACAGGGTAGGAGAGGTGGTAGGGGGAAAGGATGTGAATGGAATGGTGAGTCCAGATTTTATCACCTCCAATACCCATCTGTCTGATGTTATGGCAACCCATTTGGTGGTAATAGGGCCGCAGCCGGTGGTGAAATATGGGATTGGCGTCTCTGACCACAACAGGAGTGTTCGGCGTTTCCTCGACCTGGAAGTCAAACCTGCTGCTTGGGAATCACTGTGTTGTTTGCCGTATGTGGCTGAGGACGTCTGC